TCCTGGGTGATCCTCCCCCTGCCCCAGACCCCTGGGTTTTGCAGAGTGGAATTGCCGATGGGATCCATGTGCCACGGGGCTGAAGCCCAACTGCCACGAAGCGTTCGCAACATCTGCTGCAAGTTAATGGAGCATCGAGGGTTTACGGAGATGAGCGGAGCGGGGAAAGGGCTGAGATGTTCGTAGCGTGACGCTTGCAGCGCGGCTGAGCCTTTCTGCAAGGGGCTTGCCTAGCGACCCTTTGGGAATCTTAGAAATTTTCCAAGTAATTTTGATTTATCTCGGCCATTAGGCAAGCGGATTTAACGTGCAATTATTTTCAGTACCTCGGGAAGGGATGTCAGCGACGCGTGTTGTCGTTTTCTCTTAGCAAATGGTTCCTTCTTCCCTACCCCACCCCCAGACGGAGGGGGCTTGCTCAGCTCGCCTGGTTTTATTAGAGCAGCTATAATGCATAGTACAGATTTCCAGCTGCAAATAAGCAGGTGCTGGCAGTAATGAGAGTGGTGTGGGGCTCGGAGGAGCCGAGAGGAATTTGGCAGCACGGTTGGCAGAGTCAGGCCGGCGGCGGCTCCCCTGCTCCCTCCCGGTGCTCTGCTGTTACCTGGGCTCAGGGACCTCTGCCCCACGGGTGTGACTGGAATGGATGTTGTAGAAGCGGTGGAAGCTTTCAAAATAAGGGTTATTTGATGCTTTTCTTCCTTCACCTGGTTCCCATGCGCGTGCAAATACCCGGCGAGCGGCGGTTAAACAAAGATTTTAATAATTCTATTGGGTGTCCGTGCTTAGAGCTGTCTCCCCTTGTCCCACCCTTTAAGATGGGAGCTGACAATTTTTTATAAACGATGGTGCTAATTCATCCCTTGCAAGTTTAAGTTGAAGGAGGGAACTCCAGAGCCCCCGCTTGCTGTGAGAGCCCGGACATCCCTCCTCGGCTGCTGGCAGCTCCAGATCCCTTCTCAGTGAGGCAGAGCCCTGTTGCAAGAATTTGATGGGGGCAGGAATTTTGGAGCTGGGAATGATTTTCCTTCCAGCATCTTCAGCCAAGGGGAGCCTCCAGGTTCCCGTCAGCCAGTTTGCTCCAGCATGGAGAAGGAAGGAGACGCTGGGATGCTGCCCAGAAGAACATTTTTCTGGGGAGGGTACCAGCTCCTTCTGGCCCCCCTGGTACTTCCTGGTGCCGTGGGGCTGGACTGGAGGGGGAGCTTTGCAGCTGAATCAGGACTAAAATGGGTCTGAGGCTGCCTAAAAAGGGGTCGCCCAGATTTCACTGAGAGGGGGAATTAAGTAGCCTGGTCCCTGGCTCAGCAGCCTGGTTGAGCACATTTAAGTGGAAGCATTTGGGAGCTGTAGGAGGAGAGAGGCAGAGCTAAAGCCAGGCCTTAATTGGAGAGCAGGGTTCTAAAGCAGATGGGAAAAGCTAGAGAGCTCCGTAGACCGTGCTTTGAAGTTGGGCGCTAAAGTGCTGCGGTGGAGAGGGTTTTTCTGAGCACCGAGAGCAAATAGCACGTTCGTCTGTTTGTGCACCGCTTGCGAGCGCAGTAGAGCTGAGCTCACGGCTAATGCAAACAGTTTTCATTAAGAAATAATAAAAAATAAAAAGCCATTTCACATGCTGATAAGAAGCCAGTTGGTTTTTATATTTCACCAGCAGTTTAAGCCATACCCAGAGCCATTTATCTTTTTCCAGTGCTGGCTGCAGAGGATATGAAAAATGCAGCAGGCTGCACATATGTAATTAAACTTTTGGCAGAATCTTTGCCCTGCAGCTTTGCGAAGAAATTCAATAATGATAAATCGTGTGGAATATGTAGAGGACTTCTTGTGAACGAGATTGAAAATAATGTACGTGGCACAGATAGTTATTTGCCACATAATTGTCTTGGCAATGTCCTCGCGAGCGCTCTCGTCTGATTGTGTCAGCTATTCTTTAAAAACCACCCCCTTGTCCTGCTCTTATCACTACTCCAATTTGCTATTGAGGCTTTCCTGATCTCCAGCCAAGTCCGTGTTTAGCTGTAATTATTGGGTTTTTTCCCCCTTAGCCTGCTCAAGATGCAGCTTTTCAAGCTCTGGGTGCTGCGTTTTGTGTGACGGCCGCACAAGTCCCCTCCCGTGCTGTGTCCGACGCCGTGAGCCGGTATCATCACTCCACTGCAATTATCCTTTTTCTTTCTCAGCCTTCCCAACAGCCGTTGGAAGTAAAACACATCGCTTGACCCACGTGCAATGTGAAATCTCACTGAGGTGCCACACCGCTGGGAAAATCACACTGGGGTTGTCTCCCTGCTTTTGGCGTCGCTGCCTTTATCCTCTGATAACGCACCGAGAATTCGTAAGAGAGGCAATTTTGTGTTCGAATTGTCCAGCCAAACCACCCTCAGCATTTCCTCCATAAAAGCTGCATCTATTGTGTTTATTTCCCACAGATTTCCCCCGTTTGCAGAGCAGCCCGGCATCCCTCCGTCCTTCGTCACCACTGTCCTCAGAGACGCTTCAAATATGCCTGTAAAAAAACCTAATTTTCATCAAATTTTTTTTTTCAACAGCAACAAGCAGACTGCTTGTAAGTAAAATAAAATCCAAAAAGAGGTATCTAATAGCTGCGTGCTGGGACGGAAGGGACGCCGTAGCACGCTCAGGGTGGCAGCTGAGTTTGCTTTCATTAGGGAGAGCCGTGAAATGGATCTTTTCTGGTAGTTTGATAATGGGGAGAGAGCGCTGTGGAGAGTTCTCAGTGGAATGGGGAGAGCTGAAAAGCAGAAGAAAATTGCCGGCGGTGCGGCAGCCTGCCCGGTGTGGGTAACGCCGTCCTGCACGGGTGCTGCGAGAGATGGGAGCGCAGCGGAGGTGCTGCCGCGCTGGTGGCTTATTTTGGCTTGATTTAAGACAAAAAACAAGTCTCTGATACTACATTTGCCCCTGTGTTCCCCCAGCAGCCACCAAGATTTCCACTCTCGGTGTTCACCCTGCGACCGTACCTCGTGGCCGCTCGCGGTTTTCTTGCGCTCGTCGCTTTTGCTGAAGGGGGAAACGCTGGCGTTTGGTCAGCTGGGTGTGAGTGCTCTTCTCTAAATGTCACACAAACCCTTCTCGCTCCTCCCTGCAAAGCCCTTGAGGCCGGAGGGGGGTTCCTGCTCCTCTCTGCCCCCTCGCATCGCCCTGGCTGTGGTGTAGGAGGTCCTGTCACCGTGATGGGGCTGCGGGTCCGTGGATCGGCATCGATGGCCGGGGCACAGTCAGCTGAAGACAACACCAGGGGGACGCGTGCCAAGCAATTAAAGTAATCTGATGGCCTGGCACAGGAAGGGAATTTCATCTCTAAGTGACTTCAAGCCTTGGCTCTGCCCGTTTGCCAGGGGTCTGCTGCGCCCGCGTTCCCACGGTGAGCTGGACAAGCTGCTCCGCTGGAGCCGGTTGTCCTCGCTGTTGCTTAAAAAAAAGAAAAAGAACGTTTCTCTCTATGAGATGAAGCTCTGCCATCAAATGTTACTGCGTGTTATTGACTGGGCTAGGATTTGGGGACAGAAAGTGCCTGGCTCCATCCGGCTAATGCCAACGACAATGTTTATCTGCAGAGCTGGAGTCGTGGTGGTTGCGGTTCGCAGCCCTGGTGACACCGTCTGGGGACGCTCGAGGGGTTGGCAGGAAGGGATCCACCTGATCCCACTCCTGTCCCGTGGAGTTTTATTCCGTGACCTGTTTTTTCTGGTACCGAAAAACTCATCAGATTCTTGGTTTTATGTTGTGTCGTTGAGAACTGTTTTAGGATGCCTTTATGTGCCTGTTTTTGCGGTCCAGATGGCGAGGTGTGGAGTGGTGCTGACAGCCCTGCTCGCCCAAGGTGACTTCTTGTGTGAATTTGCATGAGCCTCGTTGCCCTGAGGTGCTTAATTGGTGCTGAGAACTCCCGGCCGGGCATCATCCTGCCCCTACACGGCAGGGGAAGCAACTGGCATCCCGTCACAACGGTTTCAGAGGGCTCCGTACACACATCTGCAAAAAGAGTCCTGGAGTGGGTCAAGGGACAGGAGAGAGAATTACGTAAATCCAGGGGGAGAGAATTGTATTGTGTAAATGTCAGATCTTCAGTATGAAGCCTTAGCTGTCGCTGGGTGAGGCTGAGGAGTTTGTGCGCCTCAGCTCTTGGCTTCCCTTCGCCTTTTCATGCTGGAGGTGAGCAGCGAAGGTCTGGGTGTGCGTAGGCTTCGTTACGGTGCTGCCTGGTGCTCGTTCCAGCCTTAACGGCCCTAATCAAGGCTTGAGTTTTAGTGGCATGATTTTAAATAATGTGGTATTAAATAATAGAGCCGATGGTAATGGTTCTGTAAGGAGCAGAGCCTGGGGAGAGCCTGTGGTTATCTGGGGGTGCCTCAGCAAACGGCAAGTCTTTTGGTCGTGGAACAAATAGTTGCTAAATACAGCTCGGTGAGCCCCTTTTGGCACTGGGGTGAAATCAAAAGGAAGCATTACGGGGTTTTCTTTGACCAGCAAAGGCAACGGAGCTGCAGACCTGCTGGG